AACTAGAGACATCATAATACTTGAGATATATTTGAGGTAAGGAAATTAAAGTAATATTACTAACTGTATTGTGAAAAAGAAACAGGATAAAAATAAGTTAGCTTAAATTTTGTAGTCAGGGGAAAACTCGCAGAAAACTGTGTAAGTCTTGCCATCGAGAACCCTTATTATTAATTTCATGAAATTACTATTTTACTGTTATAAATACTATTAACAAGTTAAGTTTACTTTTTTTTTTTTATGTTTTTCCTATTGTTTTTTTTGTTTTTTTTTTTTACAATATTATTTTTTTAATTATTCATAATGAATTAAAATATTTCCATGTAATTATTTATTTCTAGAATGAGTTTTTTTAATTTAGTTTTTAAGAAATTAACATTTTCTCAAAGAAATACTGGTGAATTTTTTGGAATTAATTTATTATATAAGTAAGAACCACGATAACCTGCAGAAAATTGGGAGAGTTTTCGTTATTTCATAGACACAATATAGTTTCCAGTTGCTCAAGTACTAAATTTATTTATTTATTGAATTATTCAAAAAGTTATTTTTGAATCGACTTGGGACGAATCCCATTCTATGTTTGAACATAAACAATATATTTTGATATATGTTGATTTGGTAAATGTTTAAAGCATTCATCTGTTTAAGTAATAGACTTGCATTAGTAAGCTTATCTTTATAAAATATTATTCCAGAAGCATGTTTCTGTCGTCGATGTAGTGAAACTAGCTTACTTTTATGGGTAAATAAAATAAGAATAAAACATATTGTTATCATCTGCAAAAATTATGCAATCTTATTTGAATGAGACTTTAGGAAGGTCGTTAATGTAGATTAGAAGTAGAAGAGGAGCTAAAATAGATCTCTGAGGGACACTTATTGAAATTTATTGATGTGGTTTATATACACACATTTGTAAAAGGTTGTGAAAATAAGATCAGTACAAAATTTTTTCAGATACCTTGTTCGTGTTTGTTATCTATTTACTATGGCAGCAAATGTAAACAAAAAATGAAGAAGAAAAAGAAAAAGAAGAAGAAGAAAAAGTTTCCAACCATCTTTTAAAAGTTATAAACAATTCTGATGCTAAATACACGGCAGCCGAGAAAATTAGCGTTCTTATGTTTCGTGATATAAATTGAGCTTTTCAGAAGCCACGTGTTTAAGTCCATAAAATAATTTTTTTTAATTCATAATGGCTTTAAAAATTATTGTGAAAATAATCAAAAGCTATTAAAAATATGTAGGTGAGAGTTGGGAGATAAGGGACGCGGGAGAAGTGGGATAGCCTGAAATTTCTAATTAGGAGTGGTGCCTAAATACTATTATTTAATGTAAACAATTAAATTTTTTTTCCCCTCAATTTAGTAGAAATTCTTTTGTTTCCCTGCGTGCGCTAGAAACCCTAATTTTGAAATTTGATTTTACTGTCCCACCTTATCGCAATGTAAACACTTAAAAAAGTGTTTACATTGGGGTGAAGTGAGACAGAAAAAAAAATATTTTGAAAAAAGAAATATTTTGAAAAAAGAAATATTCAAAAAGTCATCTAAAACTAAACAGAAGTTGTATATAAAATATCTTAAAACGAAATTGTCTAAAAATGAAAATATATACAAAGATTATAAATATTTGTTCGAAAAAATTCGTCAACGCCCTAAAAATAATTATTACTCTAGAATATTACTAATATTATTAATTAATATTACTAATATTATTAGACAAATTTAAAAGTAACTCTAAGCGCACTTGGCAAGTAATAATAGAAATTACTGGCAATCAAAAAACATGCTCAGGTTCCCTCCCCAAAATGATTATAGTTGATAACAAAAGTATGCATGAATCAAAAGCAATATCTAACGAATTTAATAAATACTTTATCGAAATCGGCCCTAAATTAGCTAATATAGTTTCCTTTACTCTAGTCGCCTTTAATGATTTATTAGTACCAATGAATGATTGCAACTGTTCTAAAGAAATATACTCAGAATTATTTTTTGATGAATTTGAAATCGCCTTCAAACCACTAAAAAAAAAAAAAGCTATCGGAGCTGATGGAATTAATGGCGACATAATTATTAAGTGTTTTGATCATCTCAAAAAAATTCTTTATAAAGTTTATAAACCATCTGTCCACCAAGGAGTTTTTCCTGATCGTCTAAAAATTGCAAAAGTTATTTCGATTTTGAAAAAAGGAGACTGTTGCAATATCAGTAACTATCGCCCTATATCTATCCTTTCTACTTTTTTATAAATCTTATAGCGTATTATGTACAATAGAGTATACAATTATCTTGTCTCCAATAATCTTTTATATAATAATCAGTTTGGTTTCAAAAAAAAATAATTCTACCGAACATGCAATCATCCAATTTGTACGAGAAATCTCAAATTCCTTTCAAAGATCCCAATTTACATTAGGTGTTTTTATTGACTTGTCGAAGGCTTTTGATACTGTCGACCATGAAATCCTGCTTGAAAAACTAAAATATTACGGATTAAACTATATAATTATAAAATGACTTCGTAGTTACTTATGAAACCTCAAACAATTTGTTTTTATAAACAACTATAACCAAAGCCATCTATTAAACATTTCCTGTGGTGTTCCCCAAGGTTCTATCTTGGGGCCACTTTTGTTCTTAATCTATATAAATGACTTAAATAAAACTTCAAACTTAATGAGTATCATGTTTGCCGACGACACCAACTTATTCCTGACTAATAATGGATATCCAAACTCTTTTCTACAATTAATGATGAACTTAAAAACATATCTACTTGGTTCAAATGTAACAAGTTAACTCTTAACATTAATAAAACCAAATGGGTTCTTTTCCATTCACTTTTTAAAAAACGCTATTTACCCTAAAATTTGCCCAAAATATTTATAAAAGTAAGCTAAAATGCCTTTTTCGCCGTCAGAAACATGCAATCCGATTGATTAATTTTGCGGATCGTTTTAGTCATTCCAAACCATTATTTATGGAGATGAAAATGCTTAATATTTACAAGCTCAATATTTATAACATTTTATGCTTTATTTACATGTGAAAAAACGATTTAACTTTACCTATCTTTAAAGACCTTTTTTCTCTAAACTCAAATAATAAATATTTACTTAGAAATAAAATTTTTGTACATGAACCTATTTGCAGAACAAATTTTAACAAATTTTGCATTACATTTCAAGCACCTTATCTTTGGAATAAAATTGTTATCCCTAATTTTGATATATCCAATACATATCCGATCTTTAAAAGTAAACTTAAAAATTTTAATTTATCTATTGATGATACATTTAAATACTTTTTATAACAATCACGTATTTGCTTTTTAATTGTAAGACTGTTGTATTTTCTCTTGCTTATTAAAAAGAGATGTATTACTGTATTTACTTTGTATATATATGCATTTATATATTCACGTTTTTATAAGATCTGATGATAAGATCATACTTTTTATTATATATAACATTAGTGGTTTGATTTATATTTCCAATTTATATCACGATTTATTGTAATTTTTTAGTTTTGTTAATGTATTGATTTTAAAAAACTTGTAAAAGGTTCTGATAATAAGATCATTATGATATTCTTTTAGTTTGTCTGTTTATCTTTGTAAACAACGACAAAAATGTAATATATATATATATATATATATATATATATATATATATATATATATATATATATATATATATATATATATATATGTATATATATATATATATATGTATATATATATATATATATATATATATATATATATATATATATATATATATATATATATATATATATATATATATATATATATATATATTCATGCCCCGCTTCTTGCCGTCGCCATTTGATTATTTCAATCGGTGAATGGTCTTGAACATTGGTCGATTAGGGGATTTTATGATTTTATCAGTTTCTATATAATAATTTGTGTTAAAATGTTGCTTTAAATTCAGTTGCCCTACTTCTACTTATAATTGTCTCACTTTATCCCAATGGCACGGTTTCTCTTAAAACAAAATTTTATATTTTTAGTTATAATTGGCTGGAATCCTAAGGGGATTAAATCAATGCCGAAAAAGAAGGTTTATTCGTACAAACTTGCTGGTTCAGTTTATACATCAAATAAAAAAGATATTGCAATTATCCTAAAAAAAAAAAATTACGTTTCCCACTTCTCACCATTCTCCCCTACTCGTTGGTTTAAAAAAATACAACTAACAATGAAATCCTTGAAAAACAAGAACATATATTATTTATCTTATTAAAAATTATCAAAAATAGATAAATTTTGAAAGTGGACTTAACCACATTGGCTTCTAAACGGTTCAATTTTCCAACTTACTTTTTGTAAAAATTAATTAAAGCAAAAAAAAAACAAAAAAAAACAACAACAAAAAAACAAACAACAACAACAAAGAAGTGATAAGTTGTTTTATGAATATATAAGAAAAAAAGAAAATATTATTTATAAAAATAGTATACAAAATTTGAGCATGGTTTTATATTTTGACAAGATTTTCTTTGAAAATTTGACAAGATTTTACCCTTAATAAGATCATTAACTAGTCAAGAACGGTGAAGAATAACTTTAACCTTTATTTTGCCACACAAATAAGACAGCAAGAGCTTACGTCTTTGTTCTGTAAAACCCTGACGGCTTTGTTCTGTATAATAATAAGCATCTAACAGTGATGAGTAAGTGTGGTATGAATTTACAAGTTTTTGAAATGTCTGTATAAAAAATAGACCATATTGTTTCTCAAAGAGATAAAGCCAAAATTAATGTTACGTAATGTACATTCTTTATATCCTTCCTTGTGTTACTGATAAAAATTTTAGCTTTATAAAAAAGTAAGCCATATAAATATAAAAAAAATTTATTAATACTTGCTCTTTTCTAAGAAAGCATGACGTCAAAGAACGACATTTTTATTTGGCTCTTAAGCCTATAACAACTATTTGCGTAATAAATTACGGAAAACGTATGACAAATAGTGTATAAATATAAATGCAAGTAAGACATTTTTCAAACAAAAATATTCGAACAAAGTTCAATATATCAGTATACGTTAAAGGGAGTAAATTAATATATTTTTTAAAGTTTATGGTAGTTTTATTGTCACTGCAACTCAGAAGCCTTATTTTATGGCAAACGTAAATCTTAAATATGAAAATTCTTCGAGCGACGAAAATAAATCTGATATCGACGATGAAGATAGAGCAAATTCTAGCAAATTTTTAAACGAAGAATGCATTAGCATTAATGAACTACATAAAAAAATCATAGCTCAAGCTGAGTTGTACTTTAGTAATGAAAATTTGTTAAAAGATAAATTTTTATTGAAGCACATAAAACGGAATAAGGAAGGTTATGTAAATATTAAGCTAATAGCTTCCTTCAACCGTATGCGATCTTTAACAAAAGATTTTAATATAATTGTTGACGCTCTTAGAACTTCGTCAAGACTTGCAGTAGACGAAAATGGACTAAAGTTAAAAAGGCTTGAACCTTTACCTAAAGAGCTTTTAGAGCAAGCACATGTACAATATCTGGTATTAAGTGATATACCATCTGAAAATCCTTCAGTTGATTTCATCAAAAATGCCTTCATTTTAATGAAAAATGATATTTTATCAGTTAAAATTATAAAACCTTGCAAGAGTTTTCCCAATGATTTACAATCACATTACTCAAAACATCCAGAACTAAAAGAAAAGTTAGTTGCTTTAGTTGAATTTAAAAATACAGATTCTGCGAAGGAAGCATCAAAAACTCAGTTTACTGAAGCTTATTCAGGTTTGAAAGTGTCTTTTCTTGAACTAGGACCAAAACAATTAAGAAATATTGCAAGCGGTGAGACCCACTCAGATGCTGATTCAGATAAAAGTTGCGGAAAAAAGAAGAAGATGAAAAAGAAAAAAAATAATGTTAAGCATTTATCACCTAGAGAGGATAGCTATAGTAGTTGTGCAAGTTCTTCTGATAATGAATTTTGCTCTTTTACCAATTGTAGTAAGAGATACTCTCGCTCCAAAAAACATCCTACAGACAATATTTCTCAGCATTATAAAAATGAAAGATACAATTCTTCACAAAATTCTTCACCTTTATCAAGCCCTTCAGTAAGTCCTGTTTATCATCGTAAAAACAAATCTGGTTACCAATCTCCTAAAGAATACAAGTTATCACCATTAATAAGTAATTTAAGTCCATTATCCAGTCCAGATATAAATCGCAGAGAAATTCCCAAGTTTCAAGAGTCGTATGAAAATTTACATAGTGCATGGATGTTAAAAAGAATGGAGTTAAATAAGACTAATTATGTTGAATCTGGATCAACAAATGTCAATAGCGTATGCAAGCAACTAGAGATAATTAGGCAACCAAAAGGTCCAGATGGATCAAACGGTTTCAATTCACTCCCTTTAATTAAATACGTTCTGATCCACCCAATTTAGCATTTAACATTTAAAAATTTTTCCTATAGTTTTTATTGAATTAGTAAAGGATTCAAATTTAAAAAAACATTTTTGTTAATTTCTAAACGTTTTTTGCACTGAAAAAGACAAAAAAAAAATATTTATTAACTGTAAATATATGTTATGGTCTAAGCTATATTTGCATTACACATACACTATAATAACACTAAATGTTTATTAAAGTTTTGTTTTTTTAAACTATTTATATTGGTTTTAAATTTAAATTTTGGAATTTAACACAATATATACACTTTTGTTTTTTAAAATGTTTGTAAAACGGAATATTGTTTTATGTTCTATTAAAAATATAAATAATTTTTAATTTTTTTTTAATAAATGATTTTTCTTTATGCATTTCTTTTTATGCAAAAAAAATCATTACTGTTTTGAGATAATTAGATAAGTTGTAACTAGTAGTCTGTTTAAAATTGTAATATGTTAATATAATAATATTATATTAATATAATAATTGACATAAACTCCTGGCAGATTTAAGAATGAAGGAAAATAAAGATAACCTTCCTCTTTTAAAATTAAAAAATGATCTGTAAATAATCAGTGACATAGTTTTTTTTTGAATTTGAAGTTTTTATGAGTTGAGGTAGCACTAGTAAAGTAAACAATCTTGTGCGATATCGAATGAAGATAATCTTTTATTTTAGTTTTTATTTCCACTTCAATATCTAATAATTAAGTTTTTTTTTACTGTTTTGTAATATTAATATAAAGGTTATCATTAAATAATTGATGAGAAATTTTGAAAATTTGTATGGTAAAATTATTTTTCATGCTTTTCATGCTTTTACGCTTTTCGTACTTTAATTTTTTTCATATATAGATTTTTTATTTTTATGCTGTCTGCCAATTTTTTTTTTACTAAGTAAAAATTTTTTTATTTAATTAATTTCATATATTTATGCTAATAAAATTAAGTAAATTCTTTATTAACAAGATTTTTTTTTTCTTTATTTTACTTCATTTCTTTTTTATTTATCCTTTAAATATCTTTTTGTCTAGCTAGTCGATTTCCGCCATTTTATAATAAGCTGGTATATAGGACTAATACGACAATTACAAGTATTAGCTGATATTGGCTTCTGATTGATTGCAAATAAGTAAGTTTTGTAACTCTTGCTTTTCTTTGTGTTTTCATTTAAATTTTGTTGTAGATTAAATTTCATGAACTGCTCTTGTTTAGTTTAACTCGTTTAATGCCTTTAAGAGTAAAACAGTAATTTAATTATAGGCATAAATTTACAAAGTAATGTAGATTAGAGCACGTTTCTATGGTTAGAAAACTTCGAACACAATTTTATTGTTAGAAATTTTGGAACACGTTTCTATGATTTTTAAAAAATGCATAAAATTTTTTATGCATTTTTATGAAATTGTTATAAAGCTAGCGACTAGCTAGCTTTATAGCAATTTTGAAGTGATTTTTTTTTTCCTATTTTATTTTTTGCTAATATCATCAACATCTTAAAAAATTCGATTTTTAGTGTTGAGTCTATTATAATTATGAGGATAATTGAACTTTAAACATTGCGATTTTGTAGCCATGTATCGCTAGCTAAATATCGTAGCTTTGTAGCTGGCTACAAAATATCTACAAATCTATTGCTGGTTGATAGCTACATATCAAAATTTTTTAGACAACGATTTTATTACGATATGACACTAGCTACAATAGCCAGTGGGTTTTTATCTTATTAAGCTAGCTGTCCTCATAGCCAAATCGCTGTCTTTATCTGTACAAATATCGATAGCTTTTCGCAAACTTAAAAAAAGCTAGCCATCCTTGCTGTCTTTATCGTTACGATTATAGCTAGCTATTCGTTAGCCGATTTCCCACCGGGTTTAATCATAAAAATGATTATTGATTAAAAAAGTTGTTTAATCTTAGGCTCATTTAAAAAGATGAGAGGTTAAACCAAATTGTAGTTTTAATTTTTTCCTATTTATTTATTATTTATTTATGTATGATGCGGAAAAAGTAGAGGGGAAAAAAGTTACGCAAAATTGTCTTTCTATTTATAAAATTTTTTAGAATAGTCAGTTGGATAATTTTAACGAATTTACTCAAAGACATTAAATATGCTCAAAAGCATCATACTAATGATCAAAGCTCACAAAAATTAAATCGATTTGACCTGAATAAAACGTTCAAAATAAAAATTTACTTAAGATTGTGACTAGTTGGCAGATAGTTGACAAATTGCGTTTAAATTCAGAGCATTCCAGAAAATGCCAGAAATACATATATATACAAAAAAAAACTTTTTTTTTAGCTTTTTAAGAAATTTTATTTCTTAAAAAGTCGTTGAGAAGTTTTAGACTATGACTTACGCAATAAAAGTCGGTGCCTTTCAGTGCGCACGGTACGTTTTTTAAACGTTTTCAGACGCTTTTATTAGGTTTAAACCTATAAATACGTCCTAAAAACGTTTTTAAAATGTACCGTGCTCACTAAGCTTTTACATATCGCATTGGTATGCATGTTTGATAGAGCCAAATCCTAGATTTTGAATTTTTGTACTCATATTATTCACTATCATAACTTGTTGGATTTTTACCTAAAATACTACAACACTTTTTACATTTACCTGTCAGGCCCGTAGCAACCGGGTGGGGAGCAAGGGCATTCCCCCCCCCCTCCGCCAATAGTTTTTCAAATAAATAATTTTAAAGAAATTGACAAAAAAATGATTTAAAAAAAGGTCCTTAAAACTAATTTGAGGTAGTACTGCCCCCCCTCCCCCCCCCAAATATAATTTCCGTTTCTACAGCCTTGCCTGTTTGCTGCTGTAGTTGTTTTTGGAGCTGCCTAATTTATTTTCTGTTTAAGCTTAATGGGCGTTTCCTAGTGCGCTTTACTACAAGCATCTTTCTTTTGATCTCTTAGGTATTTCAAGTTTATTGACACACTCCATTCCACTTCGAATTTTCGGCACGTTAATATTTTTCTGTTTTTTTGTATCAATATGTTTGATGTGAAATATTTGAAAAAGTATTACGAGGTTTATTTAAAAAAAACAACCCTTTTTTAAAAGAATTAGATATTATCTTATCGAGAAAAAGATTCTTTACAACATTATTGAAAAATGTTTTCAAAAAGTAACCAAAACGAGCAAAAAAACAAACCTTGTCTTTTATATATATATATATATATATATATATATATATATATATATATATATATATATATATATATATATATATATATATATATATATATATATATAAACTTGCATTTGATTTTATTTAGAATCAATAAATTTACAATCAAGAATAATTTAATTTTTTCACAAAATTTAATACAAAGTAAATTTAGTGACGAAGAGATGCAACACCTGGCATCTCTATACTAATTAATGTGTAGGGCAAATTGTCTTCGAGACAAGTTGTGACATCATGATAGGAAACTTTTGAATAAGTTGACCGTGTAAGTGTCAATTACTTCTTGTGGTAGCATATTCCAGGACGGTGTGACACAATTAGTAAAAAAGTGATGTCGTTCTTTGCAGTCGCTAACAATCTGTCTGTGTAGCTGTTTGTTATGACTTCTCCTCCTATATGCGTTGTTAGAGAACCTTTGAGGAACAAAAAAATTAACATCATCAATTTTATTCAGAATTTTAAACTGTTCAACAAGATCTCTTCTGGCTCTTCTCTTTTCCAGTGTTATCAATCTGAATATTTTTAAACGTTGCTCATATGGGAGATGTTTGATTAAAAAAATGATTGCTTTTTTTCTATTTTTTAATTTAAAAAAAGGGCTACTGTTAAGGCTTTTTATACTAAATTTTTATTAGTACAATGTCATAACAAGTAACCATTTCGAAACGATATTTTGACGATAAAGATATATAAAAATAGATATCAAAGCAAAAAGTCTAAAGTGTAATATAAAGAAATACCTAAGAAATAGTCGTTGTATAAATATCATAAGATTATATTAAATACAACAATTAAATTATGAAAAATATAAATATTCCGATAAACATAAACATTATAGTCTTCTTATTTTATAAAGACTAAAATTTTCTTAGCGCTCCTAACACAAGTAGAAACGATGGTCAACTATGTACTTTAGATCAGGATGGCTTTGACTAGTAACAGGCACTAAGGATAAAAAAAGTACTGGTTTTTATTAGCATTTAATAACAATTAGAATCTAAGATAAAAATTGTAATAAAAATGAAGTTAAAAAATGATTTTAATTGCTATTTTGTTTTTTATTTTTATTTTAAACAAAATAGCCATTAAAACCATTTTTTAACTTCATTTTTATTCCAATTTTTTATTTTAGATTCTAACTGTTATTAAATGCAATAGAAACCAGTACTTTTTTGACGCAATCCTAATTAACTTTTATAAAATAACTCTTGCTCTATGACAAATATAACAAATTTCTGCATTTTGTGAGGTGTATCGATGAGTATTAAGTTATCATATTACCTCAAAAATTTGGAAATTATATTTCTTAGTTTCTAAAATTTCTTAAAAAAGAGAGAATTAAAAATTAGATAGGAGTTTCTTACATGTCGTCATTGGGAGCTTGCAGGAAACTGAAACTATTTTTGTCATCAAGTACTTTTATACTAGACGTGTAATACAAATAAAGTTAGTTTACATTGTAATATATTTTTACCGTGAAAATAATTATTTACTTTTTTATTTATATTTTATTTACTTTTTTATTTATATTTTCTTCATATTATTAGAAATTATTTTTTTATTTATATTTTATTTACTTTTTTATTTATATTTTATTTACTTTTTTATTTATATTTTCCTCATATTATTAGTATTTCCTCATATTATTATACTTTTTAGTTTAAATAAAAGTTGTTAAAAAAAATTCCTGTTTAAAAAACTGTTTAATTTATTAACCATATTTTTTAATTTTGTTATTAGTGAGTTCTCATGATTCAAATTTATCAGTGATTCATTTTTAGAAAAAAATTTGTTATATAAATAGGGAACCTCGATATGAAATCGAGGTTTGTTATATAAATAGGGAACCTCGATATGAAATCGAGAATCTTGAGAGTTTTTTTCTTTCAAATGGTAACTTAAAATTTTCCTGTCGCTCTTGTTCTAAATTTGTTTAGATTTTTTTGAAAAAAGCGTAAAATTCTCTGGCACCAGGTCTTGTTTGTAATTAAACAAGAAAAGTGCATTTTGGTAAATATTTATTTAAAAGATGCGTAATGCTTTCGTTTGTTCCAATAAGGGTTAAGCATGAGTAATTATGTTTTTGTTGTACACTAATCTTGGGGCGTGTTTTTGACATAAATATAAAAGCTCTAACATTGATTTGTGAGTACTGTCCCATTTTTGTACACTTTATTGGCGTACATAAGGTAGCTATGTAAAAAGGAAAAAATAGTTAAGTTTATTGTGACAACAATGGCCTTGCTTTTTACATGTATTTATATTTACATTAATCAAAACCCTTAAAAACTTGTTATTCTGAGCAGGGCCGTCCCGAAGAGATTTAAAGGGTGGGAGGGTGTCTGTTTTTTGCCGACTAAAGCCAATTTTTTTTTTTTTTTTGCCTACTAACTTATCTAAAAAAAAAGGTCCTCGTTTTCCGACATTTGCTAACTGCCGACTATAAATCCAATTTTGCCAACTAAACATGTACTATTTGTAGGAGGGTATTTAGCACTCCAACGAATTCGTTAGAGTGCTAAATACCCTCCTACGCCCCCTCGGGACAATCCTGATTCTGAGCTCTTTTGATAATTATGTTTTCTAAGTTAATTATTGATTAAAGTACGTGTAATTTGTTTTTTTGTTGATTAGAGTCAAATAGTACATGTTTTTTCAATATTTAGTGATAATTCATTTGTTTTAAACCATATGTTTAGTTTTTTAGTTCATTCTTTGTAATTTTAAAGAAGTTTTTGGTTGTCGCTTAAAAGAAGAATAAGTTTGAATTATCTACAAACATAGTTTTAAAGCTGTTTAAGGCATTTGGATGGTCGTTTTTATTAATTATAGACAACCTTCCAAACAAAATATATAAACAAAAGAGTAGTAAGTTTGAAACCTTGGGTACTTCACATCTGGTTTTTACTAAATTTGATTTGTAGTTTTTATCTATGACACACTGTTACCTATTATTAAGATTTTGAACCATTTTAAGGATTTTGTACACCATACTTATGCATTTTTTTTAAGTTAAATTCCGTGATCAACAGTGTCAAACGCATTTGACAAGTCAATAAAAATCCCCAATGTAATTTTTTTTGTTAAAGGACTTTTTAATCCATTTTGCAAGATAAATATGCTCTGTTGAGTGTTGTTTATGGAAGTTATTTTGGATTTTATTTACGATTTTGTTAGTTTTTATATAGTATTAAAATTATGTTTGTTTTTAAGTACACTTATACCTCTTTTAAGTAACGAACTGAATATTTAGAAAATAAAATTACGTATCTCTCGAAATACATTTAGTGCAACTTTACAAGATATGTCATCAATACTTGAGAACTTAATTCTTTTGAGTGATTTCATAGCTATTTAAAGTTCGCCTTGTTTTAATTCATTAAAGTTTAAAAAGCAATGAGAAGTCTTAAAACAAATTTCAAATCAATTATTTTGAACTTTGAATTCTAGTTACAATATCAGCATCTTGGCAAATTGTTGAAATTATTAGTCACCACTTTTTTTATTAAATTCTTTTTCATTAATTGTTAACGCATTTTGTAAGAATTAACTTTATTTTTACTAATTAAAGGATTTTCTTATTTCTTTTGTGATCCACAGACAATTTAAATATTTTACTTTTATTTTATTTTTGATTCGGAAAACTCTCATTAAATTGGGAGCAGATAATATCTATAAAGTTATTTTAAGCAGAGTCAGTGTTTCCTAGCCTACAATCCCGGTAGAGCTCTTCTCAATGTTGGTATCAAGTCCTTAGTTTTTGTGTAGAAGACTCATTAATAGTTCTATTAAAACATGTGACTTTTTTGTAGCATCTATTAAAATTCTATTAAAACATGTGACATTTTTTGTAGCATCTTGTAACAAAGACAAATATATTGGAAAGTGGTTCTAAATATCCGTTTTAGCTATTTAGCCTGATTTTTTGAACATCTTAAACTGAGTTTGTTAATATTGTCAACAGTTAATATAATAATTAATATTGCTAATAGTTGTAATGGAATAAGAAGAGACCCTGGTAAGTTTGTTAATGATAGGAAATATACTGACCTGAACCATGTCGTTAAAGAATTTTTTCAGTAATCGCTTGTTCATTGTACTTTAAAGTATTTACCTTTATATCTCCTATTATGAATAGTTTTTTTTTCATATAATTTCATTTTCAACTTTTCTTTCATGTAATTTAGAAATTTAGTAATATCGGGTGATCGTGGACACTTAAAGTTCTTTAACACAGTGTTGATTATTTTAAGGACCTCACTATTGCCATCAGTTTGGTGGATCATGTCGAATCTTAGTGTTTTGATCATTTCGCATATGTTATATTTCCTCCTCCCGTTTTATTTACTGTTCTTTCATAAGAAAATATTTATAGTTTGGAAATTCGAGGTCAGAATTCGTACTTGTTGATTCATCAGAGCACCAAATTTCAAGAGGCATATCATACTGAAAGTATGTTTGCATTCAAACGTTTTTTAAGTTTTAAGTATTTATAAGTAAACTTCTAACGTTTATGTGTATTATTTTTTTTAAAACTGAACATAACTTTAAAAGTTATGTTCAGTTTTAAAGTTTTGTATATTAAAATTTGCTAGTAACTTTAACTAAAATTAATTTTTTTTAATGTTTGTAAATGTTTTAATAAACTAAATTTGTATAAATTTTGCTCTATATATTGTTCTAATAATTATATATAGAATGCGGGCTCACTTAGTAATAAGTTAGCGCACTTTATTTATGTATGACACATGAATTTATTTCCATAATTAATATTCTTCAGAACTACATTTTAATATTTACAAAAAAATACTAAAAAGCTCAAAAAAAAAAAAAAAAAAAATGCAACTAGCTTATTTTTCCCTAACTAAACTTATATATTATTCAATTGGGTGAATTATATTTTGATGTTTGTTCAGGTATGCTCATCATACTTATTATTAATAAACATGTTTAGTCATACTCTGGTAGGGAAGTTATTTCGTTTCCTATAAAAGTGAAGTGACCATTAAATTTTTAAAGTACTTTGTCGACATTTAACAGAATTAATAAATCTATGCTATCTCTTAATAGATCATTTAATGATAATATAATACGTCTTGACAAGAAAATTTAATGTAGAACATTCTAACTTTAACGAATAGCGTTATCGTGGGCGGCGTGTGGCTATAATTATATACAGTCCAGTGTGGGTGCGAAACAAAGAAAAATGAGCGAAACAGCACGAATTCTTTAAAACTTTCTGTATTATTATAATATATGAAATCTTTTTTATAATCTATTACATTTTATGTCAAAATTAAGACAAATACCAATAAAAGATATAAACAAAAAAACATGTAAAACAAATGCCATTAAAAATTTGGCAAAAATAAAGATTATGTACAAATTAGATTACATCATGTAAATAAATAATTTTGTACACAAATAAGTATACAGCATTTCAAACAAATTAACAAAACAGTTAAGAAACAAAAAATATACATTTTTATATATATTTTTAACTAGTATTAAATTTTCAACTTTTATTTTAACTAGTACAATCTTTAAAGTTTAATAATGTCGCACAACCAAAGTAAAACAACAAAAAACATTTGAGGTAAATGCTACAAATATTTCAAGTTATTTTTTTTGTCATCTACACAATTTGAAATTGGCAATTTCGAAGTTTAATTTAAGCCAGTTTTAAATTTTACCTGAATCTATTTATCTGAAAGTGTTAATCTGGTTGCTATAGTTAAAAAATTCTAAGCTGAAATAACAATTGCTAGTTTTCAATTTAACTTTAATCTAGTAATCTAAAAGTTTAATTCTGGTTGCGCCTATGGTTTAAGAATTATAAGCCGAAATAACAAAAGTAAAAAAAAAATAAAAATAAAAAACAAACAGCAAATGATTAATAGCAAAAATCAAAACAATAAAACGATATTGAATCTAAACCTCCTTACTTTTATCCAGACTAATTTTATTTTTTGCAATTTTTTTTAGATTGACACCCGTATTTCAACTCATTCGTTTTTAATTTCAGCTACTTTGCTATTGCCAATAAATAATTTACTGTTTTGATAATAAATTATTCTCATACTCCTACTGAATTTTATGCTGAGCTAATGAGATTTTTATACTAAATTTTGTTCTATTAAATATTTATTTTTATTTTTAAAGAAACAATATTTATTTTTTTGTGACAAGAAACATAAATATACGAATATCAACCAAAGGTGGACGTTCCACCCACTCCATAACAAGACTTAATAATTTGCAAATTTCTTCATGATCATTCATCACTTCCATGACATCAAAGCGAAACTCTGCATAAGAAGTGTACATGCGGTATTTATCATTTTCCTTAAAGTTTAATTTCTGCGAAAAATTTGAATTTGGAAAGATGAGACTTTCTACATACTGCTTTATTTGAGGTTGTGAATTATCAATTATCAGAAAACATGCACCAGAAGGAGCAGCATCAAAAATGGCTTCAAACGACTTTCTTGCATTTAATTGGTTCTGAATTGCAGATATGAACTTAACAAATGTTAAAATTTTGGACTAGAAAGGAAAAAAATAAAATAAAAAAATGAATTAAAATATTTTTTATGAAAATTATATTTTGAGTGTTTTATTTATTTATATAAAACACAAAAACACGAGTTAAGGAGACATTTTGTAAGTCGACTTTAGTGACCCGTTTAAATTTAGTTCAATTATTACTCTGTTGTTATATTAAATAATATCATTGTCAGAAACTATTCAAAACTTAAATTCAGCACAATTTTTTTCTGTTCGGTAAAAGATGTATAAAAAACAAAAACAAAAAAACAACAACAACAACAACAAACTATAAATTCATTAAACTTATTACACCATTTAAGCAGAAGCCTCGTTAGGAATAAATTTATTTAAGTTGCTGAAATACTATAAAGAGAAAGAATAAACATGCTTACATAATAGTATAAAAGTAAGCTAAAAACTATTATTTATTAACATGTGATAACTTAAAATCTGGCCAAATTTTTTTAATTTTAAATATACGAAAGAAAAATTCAATATATTTGCAATCACTCCAATAGTGTTGAAAATTTAATTCTTTATATATATATATATATATATATATATATATATATATATATATATATATATATATATATATATATATATATATATATATATATATATATATATATATATATATATATATATATATATATATATATATATATATATATATATATATATATATATATATATATATATATATTGGTATGTTCTTCATTCAAAAATGAATTATAACTTTAGTTCTCATCTTATTATGCAAAACCAAAAATGCGTTCAGTTGTTTTCTTAGCGAAATTTCGTTAGAGTACTTTTTTTCATTTATAAATAGAAATAAATAAAAAAAATGTATATATATATATATATATATATATATATATATATATATATATATATATATATATATATATATATATATATATATATATATATATATATATATATATATATATATATATATATGAACATTTTTTTTATTTAATTCTAGTTATAAATGAAAAAAAGAACTCTAACGAAAATTCGCTAAGAAAACAAGTGAACGCATTTTAGGTTTTGCATGATAAGATGAGAACAAAAGTTATAAATCATTTTTGAATGAAGAACATACCAAAATCTACTAAATATTTTATTCTAAAAAGAAAGGAGAATTAAATAGGAATTAAAAAAAGAGGTTGGAAGTGGTCGCAAAAAAAAAAAGATGTCTACAAATCTCTGAGTGTGGTCTTAAGGTTACGATTCAATGTATCACAACCATACACATGCATAACTATCAACCAAAAGCTAGTATTTGTTATTATTAAAAAAAAAACATTGAAAAGAACACTGGTGTAAAAGGCAGCCGTTTGTTCCATAAATATAGTTTGTGCGATAAATTGGTTTTGATGTTTCCGAGAAAAAAAAAGTGATGATCGATGGTATTTTTATTTTAACACTGTAAATTCCTGTAGGCTTTGTTTTAAAAACAATATGAACTTAAAATTAGTTTCATAAACACATTAAAAATGAAAAGAAGTATTCAACCTATTCCATTCTATATTTTTTATTGTATAAACAGCTCAAATTAAAGTTTTTTACCAAAATAAAAATATATACTTGAGTATAAAAAAACCAAACAGACAAAAGTCACAATAGTCAGAAGAATGAAAAACATTGTACATGCCCCAATAAAAATGAGATCTTGTGTAAAAACAATCTGTTCCAATTAATGACAGAGTATACTGTTGCTCAAAAACAGACTTAAAAGAAGCTGACAAGGAAATTTGTCATTAAGCACAATATGACCATTATAAAATAGTATAATGGGCATATGGTACCTAATGCAACCATTATATGATAATATGAGCATTATATAAAAATAATAACAATGCAACCATTATATGATAATATAAATTGTCATATTGTGCATTACAAATAATGAGAGAAAATAAAATTCTTAGCTCTACTACTTTGTCTTAATAAAAAAAGAAATTCAATGTGATTTTCCTCAACTAAGATTGTTTGTAAAATCAACAAAATTAAAGAAAAATAACAAGCATTCTTTGAGCAAGGCTCACAAAACAAAGTTTCACTGAACCAATCTGAAAGTGCTGAAAAGCTATGCATAAAGTATGTATAATATGCTTTTTAATCTTAGTCCCAGATTTCTGCATAAGCGGACTGTTGCAACTGTGACTTCGGAGTCATTCCATGCCAAATAAAGTAAATTTGATGTGGTTTCTCATGGACCATCTCAGATTTTGCTGAAACTTTTTGACTTTGTACATATATATGAGAAAAGCATGTTTGGAAAATATTAGACCAATATCTATTACGGTTCTTTCAATATCTATTACGGTTCTTGAAAAAACACTAAGTAATGGCCTATTTTGCATAAAGTTTCACTCTCCAAACAAAAAGGTTTTTTTTCATTGTTTTCAACAGCTCATAACTTTAAATAAATTTGAACAAGTTGGTTTTAAACTTCAATTTTAACATAGCAAGTAAGCTAAGGATACTTTTTTTTTAAAAAAAAAATTAAAATCTGGCATTTTAACTTTTTCCATAATGGCAGGTTAAAATTTTTTGGAATTTTAAAGAGCTTAATCTTAAAATCTAAATTAAAAATTAATACAAATCAAATTGCTTGTTGATCTGCACATGGTTGATAAAAATTAATACAAATCTAATTGCTTGTTGATCTGCACATGGTTGATAAAAATTAATACAAATCTAATTGCTTGTTGATCTGCACATGGTTAATAAATTTTTCAAAAAAATACAGTTGATTGAGAGAGCTGCATTCAAAAGTTATAAGTTATTAAAATAAAAAAATTAATCGGCACTTGTTTATAATTCCAAAAGATAGTCTCTAAAAGTCAGGTAAACTTTTCATAAAAACAAATTAAAATTATTTGTTCGTTTTTTCAAAACTTGAAAGTTAACATAATAAATAATTGCGTAGAATTAAATAATATTATTTGTTATAAAATAATAATCTAAAAATGTAAATGTTTATAACCTTATAACACCATTAGATAAAAAGTCTCCTCTTTATAAAACAGTTTTTTTTAAACGAAAAACAAACAAAATGTTTTGCAATTAGTAAATCAAAGTAATAAAAAAAGTTACACAAGTTTTACAAAATGTACACTAAATATTTATTTTTATATATCATAAAATGACAGTTAAAAATATTTTTATTAAGATTATATTTGGTTATTAAGACAATAAAAAGTTATACAAGAAATAAGCAAATTTTTTAAAAGTCAAAAAAAAAAAAAAAAATTAAAGTTTTAAAATAATAAATTAATTTTGATTTTTTTAAAATTAGTATTATAAAATCTTTCTCCATTAGACTGATTTAAACTTTGTCAACAAAAACAAATGGTGTGTTAGACACACCAGCTGTACATTTTGCTCAATATGTCAATAAGGTTGTTAAGTGACTGAAGACTGGTTTGTACAACAAGAATTTTTACCAAGTCACCAACTCCATTACAAGAACTTTTACCATGCAATGTTGCAAAAAAGTGCTGCTCTGCATTAATGTTGAAATCTTGTTTATAGTAGCATAAGTTGATAAAATTTTTGTAATTTTTATATTGTGATGTAGCTTCATCAGTAAAATAGATAATGTGTTCAAATGTTTATTATAAATAACATTTTTAATAAATCGATGAACAACATCCATGTTTCGGATGGTCTGATATAACACAGTAACTTTGACTATCAAGTTTTTCATTTTTTGGAAAATAAATAACAAAATTACCTGGCTACTCCAATGCAAATCTTGCTATGTATCCTGTATTAGAAAACTATAGTTTTCAACTAAGTCAAGGATAATTAAACCTTGTTTTTCTTTTAAATTAATTTTTGAATGTTGTAAAAAAGGTGGTTTGACTTTTTCAATATAAAATGATGCTCTGGCAAACTGTCTAACTGTTCATAAATCATTTCAATAAATTCATTTAAAGATAAAGTTGCTAGGGCTAAAGTACATTATAAATTTGATTTTTGCGATTGATAAAAATTAACTTCACTTATTTCTTTTTTATCAGACAAATTCCTAATGCAATAAATGACCAAAGTACCAAAAACTATAAAACACTAAAATTTGTGATCTTTGAAGTAACTTTTCTTCTGTTGAGTCTTATCTCTTGCAAAGTTCACCAAACCTACCTGCTCTTTGTGAACTCATTTGAGTTCAGCTGTCTCATCTTGTGATCTTAGTACTGGTGGCAATCTTCTTTTAATTCTTAAAGACTACAATAATCACATGCTTGACCTGGGCATTTATATTTATAAGAACTCACCTATTTGTCAGAAAACTAGGTTTGAAGCCAAAGACTATTTTTTTATGTGCTTTTGTTTAGCACCGCTCTATCACCATACTATTTGTTCTATATTTGTCCTTATATATCACCTTCATCTTTGTTCTATATTGATCACCTTCATCTCAAGATTGCACTCTTTTCAAAGTTATTTCTGATCAAGCCCTTTCTCTTTATCCATCAGCCAATATCGATGCTGTTTGTGACTTTAATGCTAATTCGAAGCAGAATCACAGACGCTCTAGTGTCGGTGATTCTGCAAGAGTCAAGGGCCACAACTTTTTCCTTTCTTAATCTCTAACACAAATTGTCAAATTTACAACTGCTTTCCAGACAACTCGAATCATTTACCTTCTCTAATCGACTTATGTCTTGTTTTTGATACTAGTCAGTGCTTCTATTTACGGTTTGATCTTTCTAAAACTATTATCTCATTATTCTTCATTATAAGAATCCCCCTATCTTCATACCTCATACAACTACCTTAAAGCAGACTGGGACTTTTTCTGTGATTTTCTTCCTGATGGCCCTTAGGTAGAAACTTTTTGTCTTTCTTCTGACAAATGTGCTTCTTATGTAATGTCTTGGATTTTTTCTGCTGGCATTGAATCTTTATTCTCATTTTCTGCTGGTATGGAATGTTTTATCTTGATGATTCCAAGTCTAGCCTCACCCTTCTACATGGTTATCCTCACATTGTGCTGCTACAATTTCCAATCATAACTATTACTTCCATATCAATAGCCAAAACAATTCTTCAGAAAAACAGACATCTGTTTACCATTGCTAGAAACCATTGTAAAAAGGTTTTGTCTAATGCCAAAACGCCCGCTATTCTCAGGTCATGAAATCTTGTATTTTTTCTCAAAAATTAGACCTCTGAGACTTCTGGATAATCTTTAACAGTACCTATAATAAGGAAAAATATATTATTCCGTTTCTCTTGTATGGTTCACATTTTATTACCTCACTTAAAGACAAATCTGGATTGTTTGCTAAGAACTTTTTATCAATCTTATCTTATGATTCCATTAAATCCCATCCTACCAAACACAGCTGACAAACAGGTTGATCCAGTGCTTGACATTTGTATCACTCCAGCCTCTGTATCTAAAGTTATTTTCTATTTAGATTCTTCTACAGCTTGTGGTCTGGACAACATTCTGTTATAGTCTTGCAAAAGTGTTGTCCGGAACTGTCGTCTATACTTTTAAAACTATTTAGCAAGTGCTTATCAGAGTCTTATTTTCCAGCCTGGTGAAAAGCAGCATCTGTTACTTTCCTATTTTCTATATCCCTATTTTCAAAAACTCTGGAGAGCATTCTGACTTACCTAACTACTTGAAACTAATCTGAACTTAAACAAAGATAAAACTCTATTTTTTCAGCTAATCGTTATTGCAATAATTCAGATATTCCTATTTTTATGAACGGTAATGTACTCGATGAGTCATGTACCCATAGTCTTCTAGGATTGACTCTTCTGATTTTTCTTGGAAACCATATATCAAATCCATTGTAAAATCAACAATATATATATATATATATATATATATATATATATATATATATATATATATATATATATATATATATATATATATATATATATATAAATATATATGCTGACCTTACAGAGTCTGAGGTCACCAACTTTTTTGCTGCCCTAAAGTCAACTTTATAAACTATTTCAAACAAATTAAAAATGGCTAAACAAACAATTTATTGCAATTTTAAATAAAATAAATAAAAATAAAAATGTCAAATTAAATGATTCATCTCAATTCTAAATAAAATAATTACAATAAAAACAAAAAAATAACATTTTATTTAAATTCTGAATAAAATTGTTAAAAAAAAACAAACAACAAAACAAGCCTCCTATTAAAATTTTATATAAAATAATTAAAATACATAGTTTAAACAAAAACACAAAAGAAATTTTAACTAGATTCAAATTAAATACTTTAAACATTCTATTTAAATTCCAAAAACAAACCTGTTATTTAAGTTGTAAACAAATCAATTAAATTAAAAACGAAAAAATAAACATTTCATGAATTCTAAAAAAAGTAATTAATATAAAATCAACATAACTTTTGTTCATTTTTCAGACTTTTAAGCTAATATATTATAATAATTGTTATCCTTGCTTATTTATATTGGCACTGTTCTTTGGGTTTCTGAACACTGTTTAACAGTAACAGTAAAACAGCTGTTTTTTTACGAAAAAACAAAAACTGATGTTTTTTAAATGACTTTTTTAACTGTTTTTTTAAATTGAAATTAAAGCAGCAAAAATTAAAAACTGGATTTTTTATACATTTACATAATGATTAAACTCTATTTTAATATTATAATAAGTTTTAACTGCGTAAAGTTTCATTCAAACCTGAAAATGTTCGAATTTTTTTATTCGAACACTTTCAGATAAAAGTTTATTTATATTTTAAAAATGAATAATTGCTAAGAGAAAAGTTTCTTTATTAACAATATAACAACACATTTATTAAAGCAGTTTGAATAGTAATTTAATTTGATTTATTTTTCAATAACAATTTAATAAATTTTAAAATATAGGATAACAAGAAACTTTAATAAACAACTTTAGTTCAGCAGTTATCATTAAAAAAAAAAAAAAACTAAGCACACAGGCAAGTACTAAGGAGTTTCCTATTTTAACAGTTCTTTTTTACAAAAAGTTTATTAAAGGTTTCTTAAGAGTTTTTTTAGAATTATAAATAGGGCTTCTAACACTAGTTTCTTATTTACATTGACTTAAAAATAAATGCACAGTTACTAGTTATAAATTAGTTTTTAACGATGGGTAAAATGGCTACTTAATATATAAGTTTAGACAATGTAAACTTTGATGGCTTGAAAGGTTTACTAGAGGCAATGAAACCCATTAAACTTGCTATAGAGAATCTTAGTAGAGGAGATGCAACTCTGTTGAGCGCTGACACAATTTATGTTTGAGAAACTTTATTTAGTTGACAGTGAAATTAGCAAAAAATTGATGGATAACTTGAGAATTAGAGTCGATGAATGCCTGGATACAGATATCATGAATTTATTACGCTGTCTAAAGAACTCTACAATAACCCCATCCAGAGATAAAATAAATTTTGCAGGAATGCTGGCATCTCAACTTTTTGGTATTCATGACATTAATATTATTGAAACAACTTCCAGTAATCCATCAGATAAAATTTTAACTCTACAAGAGGAGCTGAATGTGTTGCTGAAGAAAAATGAATCACCAATGGTGCCTTCTGGACAATTTTAGGTGATTAAAAGCTAAATTTATTCTTTTTAAGAACAGGCCAGCATACAGAACTTACAAAAGCTTTATGATGCATTATTAACAATTTAGTCCACATCTACAGATGTTGAAAGAGTATTCTCTGTGTGTGCCAACCTTTGTACAAAAATAAGAACACAACTCAGATAAATCATTATCAGCTCTTATAATGATTTATCTGAGTTGTAATAGTATTTTTGAAATACTATTACAAAATGTAAATTTATGTTAGGATATATATTATTGGAAAAAATTTTACTCTTGCCTGCTTAATACAAGGAGCGTGGGTGGTGATAATTAAGGTGGAGAAAGGGGGTGGGGTGGGGTGTGAATTTCAAAAACAGTAAAACAGCTGTTAACAGCTATTTACTTACTGAAAATTATAAAACAGTAAAACAGCTGTTTTTTAAAAACCACAGTTTTTCAGAAACCCTAAATTTTGATTAAAAAATACAAAATCTATATCTATCTATATATATACAACCCTTGGAATCAGGCAACATTTTGCCAAACTTAATCTGTGTGAGGTCAGCCTTAGGTCGGCATAAAAAATGTAAAAAAAAGGTTTGCCAATAAATCATAGAAACAAGATCGGCAATTTTTTGCCGACCTAAAATGTTTCTAGGTTGGCAGTTTTTTTTGCAGTTATTTAGGTGCTTCCAAAAGTCCTTATGGTCTTATCACAGAGCACAGCAGGAGAGCATTTAATAGGAAGTTCATGCCTCCTTCTGTACTATTGTCGCTTGTTGGTCTAGAGCTGGCGTCGAACCTGGAACTTCTGGGTTCTTCTTGAACTAGAACTCTAACCATTGCACCACGGCTGCTCAGTTAAGTTGGCATTACCGAATCCCGACCCTAATTCTGAGGGTTATATATATATATATATATATATATATATATATATATATATATATATATATATATATATATATATATATATATATATATATATATATATATATATTTACATATATATATGAATGTATGTATAATTATTAAAAAAAATCTTACTTTTCTTATTACATCAACATGTTCACTTTTGAGCTTCTTTTCAATATCAAAATGAAAAAAATCATAATCGATTCCCAAACCCAGTTTGAGCAAGCCTCTAGCATTATGTGACCAAAGTGCACAGTTATCAAACAAATTATACTTAACATTATTAGGAAGAAATGGGTTTAATCCTAAAATTTCACTACCTGGTCCGCAACCAAAACAACTCACATGAAACCTAAATGAAAAAACATCAAATTCATAAAAATAATAACTATTAAAAGAAAAAATTTTATTAATTTTAATGCATATTAATTTTTTAAATTAATTAAACAATATAAGTAGATCATTTAAACTACAACTTTTTCAAAGTACAATAATGCTGACTAATCCTGATTAACTCTGACTAATTATTATTAAAAACACAAGTTACTGTTATTGTAATAATTATCTTAATATAAATTTAATAAAGATTCTTTTTTACAAATTTATTGACATGTTTAAATTATTATAGTAATCTTTATTATCATGTTTCAATTAATACAATCATTTTCATTAAAATGATTTATTCTATATAAATCACTAAAATGATTTATTTTATAATAAAAACATATCAATAAAATTTAAAACATTGTTGTCTTGTAAATTTTTGATATCTTTAAATTCTGTTAAGAAAAAAAAAATTAAACAATAACACACATCTCTGATGTTTGACAAGCATCATGTATCAGCTTTAAAAGGTAATTAAATCTTCCTTCACTTATAATATCGTAAATCATGCTTGCATGAACAGGAGTATACACTGCTGTATATGCCCATCTACTTTCAGGGTCATGAAAATTTGATAATCCACTTGATTGTAAAGAAAACATATGTGTAGTAAATTGCATCTTCTTCTGAAGAACTTCATCCCAAATATCAACAGGAAGATTAATTAGTTTTAGCTCAAGCTCAGTTTTAGATCGAAGCAAAAGAATTTCACTTTCAAGGACTTTGCAAAGGAGTTCACAAACATAATCTAAAACAAATAAATTCTTTTTTTAATTTTGTTCAATAAATGGGGGAGGGGGTCTTAATAAGCTCAAGGTGGTTGGAAAATTTTTTTGAAAAGTATTAAACATCAACTGCTGTGTATTATGCACTTAAGAGTACCTACTTTCAATTTAACAAATTGAAATGAAAAAAATTACTTTCAAAGTAACAAAGTAAATTTGACCATTTTTTTTTTCTGTTTTCTTGACAACCCTAATCATTTACCTCTCTTTTCTTTCATTTAACTTTTTAATTTATGCCTCTTGATTTGTCTCCTCATGTGGTTTAAGGCCAGTCTCCGTAAATTTCAGCTTTCTTTCATTTATGTGCAGTTAATGTGCTTTTTTATCATTCATATCTTGTGGGAAAATTGTAAAACACCTATTTAAAATATAATGATGACTTTTTGTAAAACACCTATTTAAAATATAATGATGACTTTTTGTAAAACACCTATTTAAAATATAATGATGACTTTTTGTAAAACACCTATTTAAAATATAATGATGACTTTTTGTAAAACACCTATTTAAAATATAATGATGACTTTTTGACTTTAAAAAAAAATCTGATAAAAAATATTTCTTTTGCTACCTTGAATTTATAACATTATGAAGTTGTGTTAAGGTTAGGGTCAGCATATAATATGAAGAATTCATAACATAATTCATTTCTTAATTTATTGCTTTATCGTAAAATTAAGTGATCAATATTATGTTATTTGGTTATACTAATCAGTGTAAAATTATTTTTTTTGATAGACTAAGTACAATATTGTATTGTGAAATAAAGGAATAAATGAAAAAAGAGTCACCACCCCAAGTCTCTATTTAAAGTCTGGAATTGTTGTGTGTCAATTCAATTTTGTTGATTTAATTTTTTATTGAACACCTGTTTTTTTGTGTGAAAAACTTGTTTGGTCGGATAATTTTTTGAGACACTGTATCTTAAATGCTATTTTACTAACACTTTAATGTTCATATCAAGCAGAGCTCTCAAGTAAGCTTTTTGAAAAAAAAAAAGATTTTTTTCTTAAAACTTAAATGAAGAGTAGAAACAACAATTAAAAATACCTAAATAAACTTTAACATGAACAATCCTAGTTGTTGTTGACAACTATCTTTATACTTAAAGCAATGAATCCTTTGAATAATATATATTTTACTAAAAAAGGTCTCTCAATATTTATTAAATCTCTATCTTTTACTTGCAGAAGAACTAGTTGTGCCAAAAATATGAATTTACTTACTTTTGCAATTTTATTGAATTTTACAAATCTATTTTTCATATCTTCTGTTGATTTATTCATCTTTGAAATTATTTACCTCAATCTAAATCATTTTTTTTTCTCTCAATACTTAAATTCTTGCTATAAAATATGTGTTTTGAGCAGTTTTATAGACATTAATGTCATGTATCTTGAGCAGTTTTATAGACATTAATGCCATGTCTCTTGAGCAGTTTTATAGACATAAATGTATCTTGAGATTATTCTAAGACATTTTTGTTGCCTGAAAACTTTATAACTATTACACCTTCCACATTATGTCTCTAATTCCTTATTAAGTGCATTTTTGCGTTTTGTAGTGTGTTCCTAAACTGTTGATATAACTAAAAAATATATAACTATTTGTTAATGTCAAAAGATCTATTTAATCAAATAAAATGTTTTAGTTACTGTTACAATTAATCTAGCTGTAAATGAGTTTTTTTTTAAATTTAAAATTGTGCTCAAATAAATATTCAAAATAACTTGCACATAACTTGCAAATAACTGCACATGAAAACAATGTTAGTGAATATATACACAGAACAAGCTAAATATTATAAAAGTAAAAACATGTATAAATATATACAATTTAAAATTTGGTTGTCTGTGTAGCATATTCCTTTATGTCGATTGCCTGGAAGCAATAACTATTTGTTAATATTAAAAGATTTAATCTACTATTTTAATTATTTTTGCAATTAACTGATTTTCATTTGAATTTAAGCACAAATAAATATTCAAAATAAGACACTACACATTGAAAATAATTTTTTACTATATTAGTATATGCTAATTATAAGCAATGTATATTAAAAGTGAGAACGTGAATAAACATTTATAAATTAACTCATAAAACTCATTAAGAAAAAAGCACTAAAAACAGTAAAAAAGTTTAGAAAAACAGTTGTATGCAGTTTTATGATTTTGGCAAAGAAACAGCTTTTTACTTTTACTGTTAAACAGTTTTGAAAAACCCTAACTGAACTAGTCAGAATCATATAATAATTACCTTTCATTGTACACAAAACAGACACAGGACCAAGCTCATCTAAATTAATTTCATCTGGTGGTAACTTTTCAATGACACTCTTAATATCAACTTTAAATGGTCTTGATTTGATCGCAGTTCCAACAAGTGCATTAACATATGTACAACGACCAAAAAAATTTTCAGCTTGTTCCTCATTTACTTTAAAACTAGATGTCAGTACTGGTTCCTTTGCAATTGCGTTAAAATACCTTTCTTTAAGAATTTGTCTGTAAGATTCAACATCTTCTTTTAACCTGCACTCTAAACAAACAATCAATTTGTATTGCTTTTGATCCTGATGTATATCTAAATCCCGAATTACACAACAAGCATTGTTCCCATAAGCTTGAGTAAATGCAAAAAATGAAAATACATATTTGTATTGGAAGCACGCATTGCACTGAAGAATACATTGACTAGCACAAAGATTAGAAAGCTGTTTAAGAATATCTTGGGTCTCATTCAATGCAGTGCAATCAATGCAAGTTCTATTTTTTGGCTTAGAATCAAACCATTCTGCCAATGAGAACATACAGAGTGGATTTCCATTAGAACATTTTATACATTTCTGAATGCGATAAAAAACACAATCCAAACAAATGCATACCAGATAATCTAAGCGTGGTGATTTAATTTGCTCAAGTTTATCATTTAGATATTTACAATGTTTTTTGTTGGTAAAGATATCATCAGTTTCAACAAAATGACAGCAGTTAAAACACCAATGCCCATTTATACGATTCTGTAGAATGGAATGTTTTTTCTCATTACAAAAATTCAAAACTTCAAGGGATCCCATTGACATTATAATTATATCTTAACAATAATATATATATATATATATATATATATATATATATATATATATATATATATATATATATATATATATATATATATATATATATATATATATATATATATATATATTATGTTAGTGTATTTTACAAATATAGTGCTCAATGTTCTTAAAGAACAGAGCAATAATAAATTAGTAAATACACTTATCTAATTTTTTTTTCAACAACTTGTTTTCATATCGGTAGGTTCATCAGGAAGTAAAAAACATGATAAATCGACTGATGGAAAAACAAACTGTTGAAGAAAAAAATTAGATAAGTGTTTTTACTAATTTAACTTTGCAAATTCATTTAAAATTAAACATTTTTTATGCATTTGCAAAAAAAACATAAACTTTGACTCAATGTTTCGGTGTATGATATATATATATATATATATATATATATATATATATATATATATATATATATATATATATATATATATAGACATATATATACATATATCATTGGTTGGTCGTTACGTTAGCCTTGCATTAAAGTTAATTACTTAAATTAACTTTAATGCAAGGATCAAATTGAGTGATCACTAATTGCGATTTCTGGAAATATTTCTGGTCTTCAAACTCACAGTTCATTAAAAACAGTGAATACTGCTTTTAATGAAATGGTCCATTTATCATATTGCAAAAACTAATGAAAAAACAAACAATAAATTTATAACTGCAAACAGTCAAAACTTACATATTTTAAATTATTGTTTGTTTAACACCAGGTAATTTATAGATCATAAATAAAATAAAAGAATAGAAGACAAAAAAAATTACTGAAGTCTGAAATAATTACAAACATTAAAATCAATTTTTCTTTAGGGGGAAACTTTGAGGAATTATTTATTTAAAAATATAAATATTTTAAATTAGAAATTAATTGATAATAAAAAAAATAATAAAAAAAAAAGTTTTAAAATAAGTAATTAGAGTTGTTTAATTTTATAATAAACTTAAAAAGTTTAAACTAATTTTTATATATTTTCAGACTTAT